CGCACAAATCACCGATGGCCATCTTCTACTTAATACCGCTCAATTTAGCGTGAGAAAGTGCACCCTGCAGTGCTATTCTCTAAAACCAAACTCACTTTTCATCTCGGAATCCGCGGTGTGATTCAAATTTAGTACACGAATTTCAAACAAATTTCAAATCACACCTGCGAATTCGGCGGTGAAAAGTGGGCTTGTACAGAGTAGTACTTTTAGCCTAGCCCCAAAGTAAGCACTGTAAGGCTTGTGTTATGGGATGCTAGGGTAACGGATAGAGTACATATACTGTACATATATAAGTATATTTATATAGAAATACATATTAAACATCTATGACTGTGTGCAAATGCTCGTATTCATCACACAAACAGCTGCCCCCACCGGGATTTGAACCCGGGACCTCTCGAGTTGGCGACACCATGACACCCGACGTACAAACCACTCGGCCACGGAGGTCGTAGTACAAAGGTTGTAAGTAAGGTAAAAAAAAATGCAGGATTAACATGAAAGAATGGAAGGATATCAAAGGGAAAAGGGTTCGAGATTATGGCGCCGAATATACATATTATTATATCAAAACAAAGTGTACATGTCCTGCTACCCGGTGACGCTCTAAGCACGGTAATAGTATATATCTGTAAGGGTCATCTGTGACCAACAGCATACAGCATACACACTCAAAAAAAAATCGGTGCTAAAATACCGCCGTCATCTTTATGTAGAACAACGCCGTAAGTTTGTGTGGTTTTGATTTCATCGCATACACTAATAGGCTAGGCTAATTCGTGTGAGTGTTGAAAATATTTATTTATTTCTAGTCAAATTTTCTTTAGTTCACAAAGGTTTACAAAACTAGGAAATAAATGAAACTTGAACTCTCTATGCAAGAATTAGAGGAGTCTATTAAAACCACGATACTGTTGGAACTTAAACTCCTAGACGTGAAAACGTGATGAAGTTACAAAAGATTTAACAAAAAAAAGACAAAAGAAAAGGAAAAAGTAAAAAAAAAAGTATCACTTTTCCAAAAGTATTGGAAAAGTGATCCTTTTTTTTTTAAGATAAGAAATTAGAAAAGTGTGCATTAAACTTAGCTGCGAATAGACGGACGGATATACATGGCGAACTTTTCCTTTTAACAGTTCCTTATTAACTAAGAAACCCTCTATAAAGAAATAAAAAAAAAACCAATCGAATTATAATTTATTGCTGTGCTTATCTTATAGCCAAGTACGGTTCGTACTGTGTGGTATTCAGTGCACCCATATAACATTTACCACTTGAAATATAACGATTAACAACAGCATCGAACCAGAAACGCCATATAAATCACTATTCTCGGACGGTGATTATGATTTATCTCTCGTTAAAACTGCAATAGAAATAGATATGCTCTGAAAACATCATCATCTATCTGTCTGTCACACAGTAAAAGGATCGGGAGACATGCCCAAGGAGGAGAGTTACCGTCTCTCAAATTTAAATTTAGCGCAAACAAACGTCAATTGCTCACATGCGATGCACCAATCACAGCAAAACAGTCTCGCTAGTGACCAATGAACTAATAGAAGTTTTCTCTTTAAAAAATGTTCCAACTCTCCCACCTGGGCAAGTCTTCCGGTTTTCCTCAAATCCGAAAATCTCATAAATGCCAATAATTCCATTTTCGTTACACGAAAAGCCATATTTGTCCCACGATCAAAATTGTCCCCACTGACCATTGAGTCAAACTTATTCAGCCTACCGACCGTCTTAATAAAGAAGATATTAACACGCCCGTTTATTATCTTTGACTGTGTAAATCATGCTTTTCACAAACTTGGCACCGTAGCCAATAACCGAGGTAATAAAACAATTTACTCCATTCACATCTAACTACCTGTTAACAATGGAACATAAGCCCAGCAGCGGTTACGTAATGAGTTAATACCCGTATTTTATGATAATCTCTTGGTCTGCGATGACACGACTTGCTAAACACGATAAGACGGCGGCTTCGTTTGTGTAGTCTTAGTGCTGAACTGTATAGTTTGTGGTAAACCTTTTCAGTAACCTTCAACGTTTTGAAGTAAATTAAGATAATCACTTGTTAACGTGTTAAATGCAATCATCATCCAGTTTTGACAAAATCAGACAGAATTTGATTACCTCAGTGGTGGACTGTTTAAACACCGTTTTTCGAAGTGCCGCCTAATAAGGTCCTGGGTTTGAATTCCGCTGCTGCTAATGTTTGTTGGATGAATACGAGAATTTAATATTTATACAAAAATATAGTTATTTGTGTATATCTATCCGTTACTCTAGTAACCCATCACACAAGCCTTACAGTACTTACTTTGCAATTAAGCTTATTGATGACAGTGTTAGAAATCATTATCATCTGCCGATGGACGTTCACTTCTGGACATAGGCTACCTATAGGGATTTCCAGACACAACGCTTTCCGTATCCAGTCGGTCTCCCGATTCGCTTGATCTACCTTAGTGCTTATTCAGAATGCCAGAGCGGGAACGGGCACGGGCGCGGGCGCGCGGGACTTGGCGTCTTCTTGTTCACAGTGGTAGAGCGGCTGCACAGTGGTAGAACGTACGCGTGTTATACGGTTCTAAAACTTCATGCCTCCTATTAGAATGAAGATTTGATTTTATTAATGAAAAAATAATTTTAACTGGGAAGAAAATTATGTGAAGAAATTACGCTATACATGGAATGAATAAAGGACGAGAAGAATTGGGAGAATTTAATGTACCATACGCCGATTTACGGAGTAACCCAGACTTCTGCGAATACACAAGAAAGACAATAAATACATTTAATTATAAATTAAATAAGATCCCAACACACTTGATAATTAATAAAATAATATAAATTCTTCTGTATCAATTTCTATGTTGCCGCGGGTGAATCAAAAAGGTTTTGGAATCAGACGCGTTAACCACAGAAAGACACTAGAACACTGTGAAAAACACAGGCGGATTGAGCCAATACAATCACTCGCGCGATAGTGACGCTACCCGCACCCGCCCCCGCGCCCACCTTTACTCTGAAAGAACACTTAGTCTACCTGATGGGTGACCACCCATCTTTTTCGATTAAATTGAAAATAATATCCTTATTTCGTAAAAAGTATGAAAGAATTTTACTTTACAAAAGTCTTTATTGCATAATCTAAACGTTCAATGAAAAATAATAATACCAAAAGAAGTAAAATGAAAAGGAACTATTCCTACAAACAGCGGAACCAATGTAACAGTACATCAAAGTAATGGCTCTAAAATCGTATGTGTAAAGGATTTATGTGAAAAACGATAGAGAAAAATGTATGTACCTATACTTATAAGAATTATTGCTTCTGAGTTCCACCGACTGGGATCTACTTCGGATAGATATAGATTTTCAAGATCCCAATTCCGATTAACATTGCGGATAAACGATTATGTATTGCCTATCGATTTAGGAAAATAGAAGGCTTTGGTAATGGTTATTTCAGTTAGGCTTTAAGCGAAAAATTGGATAATTCCAAAGTAAAATCGTTGTTAATGAATAGGGATGATGACTAATTTTTTTTTCTTTGTTTATCAGGTAGATTATCAAAAAGTATCGGACACGTATTTTTTCTTTTTTCACATAATATAAACATTGCAGAGATATATTGATTTGAAAAGTCGCATGACGTCACGTTTTGGTACAATTTTCACTTAAAAGTGACGTCACGAGCCCCTACTCTCAAACTTAGACGCGATGATAACTTTGTAATTTTTTGGTCGATTGCCCAAAGAAAAAATACGTGTCCATTATTTTTTGATCATCTAACTGACGGACTGAATCGAATTTCGTTTACTGCACCCCGTCATCACCCCTATTACTAACGACGATGGTAATGTGTAATAAGCCATTTTATACATCTAAAATTGATTAACTCTATACCTATTCAAGTGTGTTTCATTAAAATGATTGGTGTGCGCGAAAATATTAGAAATAATTATTATTAAAGTCTGTTTTCGAATTCTCTCATGGTAATAAAAATTGAACATGAATCATGATTTATTTATCAATCTACAGAAATAAATACCATATTGGATAAAAAATGGAAAGTTCTAACTGCACTCGGACACCAGCGTCACATACATTTCACTAGAAAGCGCATTAACTACCCGTAATACCAATTAACAATTGTGTAATGAGTTTGCATACGCTTTTAAGAAAGGAACACGGAAGATGGTTTCTAAATGTTGCCAGAGCTAATAATTTGAGAATAAAAGACCCTTCCGACGCTCCCGGCTGTGTTCGTTGACCATAGCGCTAGTAATTACCAAGTGTTTTTATTTTTACTCATCCGGTGTTAATTTCCATAACAGACCAGTGTGGTGCGCGGTCTACCGTAGCGTATGATCCGGCGCAGGTAGAGGAGTGTCATATCGATAGTTTTTACTTAGAAACATGCAGCTAGTTATGTTAAAATTTTGCGCTTTTTTGTCATTAACAGCATTGGTTCGCATAGTGGCAAGGTATTCAGTACGTGATAAAAAAATGGAGTATTTATTTAAAAATGGACTAGAAGTTATTACATATTTATTATAATTATTATGTTCGCTTTTGAGATTAGTGTCAACTATATAAGGTTTCAGTGAAGTATGCACATGGAAATAAGCTTACAATAGTGCATGAAACCAAATTAATCAAAGCAGATAAGTATTGAATGTACTTATGTGATAAAATTATTACATCAGTTAAACGTTTAATTTTTGCTAAGAATACATTTTTTAAACAAATAAAAAATACCCGAATTATTATTAAAATATTGAATAACGAAAAGCATTAAATATAAAATACAAATAATAACAATAGCGTGCAATTAGGAATTCAAAACCTAAACCGCAATTATTTCAATTAGGGCACAAACTGCTTCTCACGTTTTCGTTATAAATTTTCAAGTCAATAAAGCCTGGTTTAACAAACTGGCAGGTCACGCGAATATTTGAAAAAATAAATAAATATCGATGACACGATTATGCGTCCGCGCGTCTCTAATCCACCGGCCTTCCTTGACAGCGATTCAGTGTTAAGTACATAGCGCATGCGCGCGACCGTCTGTTGTTTCAGTGGCATTGCAGTGTTTCGAAAATTGAATTTATATGGCAGTGGTGACACGAAAATGTGGTGACTTACATTATGTGAAGGCGAGGCGCAACTACGGGAGGACTCCTGAAAATGGCTGGGTAATCATGTGATTTTCGAACCACTTTATTTTAACCAATTTTTTTGTTCAAACTTGGTAACTTAAAGAAAAAAGTCAAGAAGTTTTTTTTAAACGAAAATTACAATATTGTTGTACAGTATTTCTACGGGAATACTCTATAATCTCTACAATCTTCAATGATACCTGATCCTTATCCATTCTAAAAAAACATATAAGGTTTTTTAAATAATCATTCTAGTCATTGAAACGTAAACGTGACTAAGGCATTACTATAAAATAAAATGAACTCTACTAAAATATCCAATGATCACAAATGCGTTCATGTTAAGGTTATAATTAGTAATTTTAAAAGAATAAATAATGATACAAAAACTGAAAGTGAAATTCTCAACCGGCCGTGAATAAAAATATGTGTACCTCATTTGAGCTACGAAACTGTTACACTTATGCACTTAATTTGACTACTTACTTGATCAGAAGATAAAAATTATATTACTTCTCCTTTTTGGAGAATGATAGATTAACAACCGTAGTAAGACACGTGAAATAAATTTAATGTCATTTAAAGTCATGTGTTTCATCTAATGTCATCGCTGACTTTTTGGCGGGATAGGGAAGCGTCACTTTAGCAGTTTTATTTTTCTTGTTAAAAATTGTGTTGTGGCGGATGTTAGTGTCTAATAATGGTGGATTATATACCACTGATACCACTAAGTGTTTGGAAATATGCACAAGTGTTGGCAAGTGAAACAAAATAGCGGAAAGTGTCTTTCGACGTTCCCTCAAGAAGTCCACGGAGAGGTTCCAGTAAATCCCCACACTTTTACTGAAACATAGGGAAAGGGGGATTGACTTGACTGCCACATACTTTGACTTGATTTATTACTTTGACCACGAGTGCTATAGTATTTGTAAACATTTTAACACTTGACATTGGCTAAATGCACAAGCCGTGCGAAGCCAAATAGAAAAAAAAGATGTCATCGCTAAGAAAGCGGCAGCATTTACTTTAGTTAAAGTTGAAAGTTAATTAACATTCCTGAGTACGAATGATACCTGTAGTCTGATAGACTAATGGCGCAATTACACTTGGTCGTTAGTCCGAATACGAGAGCCAATAGAATTCGAGTAAACGATTAAGTGTAAATGAACGGACTCGAGTACTAGTGGTACGGGGTAGAATTCCTTTTCTTTTCCCGACACCGTTTTCCAGCCCGTATTCTAGTGTAAATATTGCCTGTGCTTCAAATCATGAAATAGAAAAGTATTTTTTATCTATTGTCACGCGAACAAAAACGCAAAGGATTGGCACAGCCTTAATAGTATATTTTTTATTATATAGTATTTTTTTTCTCTAACTTTAGTAGCTCGCACTCTATCGCCAAAACATCCGTCTCATACATCCATACTGGTTGACTGGTAGAGAATGCCTATGGCATTAAGTCCGCCATTTACTGTATTTTGGTAATAAAGAATAAATAAATAAACAGACCCACAGAGCCCTGGAAACCTCACCCACCGATAGAAACATGACTACAAACTCTTCGTTGGTCACATGCAAGACGCTTTCACAACAAAACAGTCTCACATGTGATAAATTGAATGTGAATTGACGTCTTTTTTGCTCTAAATTTAAATACAATTTTGAAAGATGTTTCAAAACTCTCAACTGGTCAAGACTCCCGGTTTTCGACTACAAATAATAAATTGTTGTTAGCTAATATAGTTAGTTGAATATAACGTTTATTGTTAAACATTCGTAAACAAGAGGCTTGCACGTGTACGGATATGATGTGTTTGGGACACTCTTATGATCCGAGAACGGATTTCCGTTCAGGTAATATATATATAATATATTACCAATATTTCATAAATATGTTGTTTAATATGATATTAGTTGAGTTACTTTCTTCGGAATCAGACCAATTAGATGATCGTTATGTGTTCCGAGAAAATATGAGGTTCACTAAGTTTTCCTGTATAGAAGTTTATATAGATAATAATATATAATCCTACTTTCCTACTAATATAATAAATGTGTAATTTTGAATGTTTGTGTGTTTGTAACTCAATCACGACAACCTACTGAACGGATTAGTATATGACCTGGAATGAGACATAAGATACTTTTTTGTCCTGGAAAAATGTAAGGTTCGCGAGGGATCTCAAGAAACTAACTATGGCGAAAAGGCGATAGAATCGTATGATGTACTACTCTGTACATCATGTATATTTGCAAAAAAAGTTTGAAGGGCTTAGAATTAGAAGTAGTCCATAAAAGATAGAAATGTATTATATATTTAAAAAAAAAAAAAGGTTTGTCAAACGCTTTTTCTGTATTTTTGAAATCGTATCAAACAGAAAGGGCTGCATAAAATTCAATGAACTCAAAATATATTTATAGAGTTTTCGTCAAGATATCATTAAGTCTTCATTTTATTAAAATCGGTATACTCTATCATAAATTATAACAATTTAAAGCCACGCAGAAGTTTGATAATATGATTGACTTTATATAAAATGTAACTTACACGCTGTGTTATTGTAATAGATGGCGCTGATTCATTTCAAGATCGCAAGTGTTTAGGTTTGTATTTGTACAAGTTTCAAGATCTATAGATTTTGCCGAGTTAGAATTGAAACATTAAAGTTTAATAGTAATTTTTTTTTTAATATTTATGTTAAGGTAAATTGTGGAAAAGTGTTGTCTGTGTAGTGTTCGTGCACCATAATCATTGAGACTATTTACTGTATTTTTAGCTGTTTTATTTAAAGTGCGATATCTTATTGCATCCCTTTGCAACAAGCATTTGTAGCAGATATTCATGGTAATGTAGAAACCCCAACCCAAGCAACGCAACTTCGTCCGCGTGGAATTAGTGGTTCGGGTAGCTTACTTTTTGCCCAATCTGCATTTTCATCAATTTGCTGCACCATCATCATCATCATCAGCCTATTAATGTCCCCACTGCTGGAGAACCTGGCCGTACATATAGATGGAATAGGGAGTTTGGGCCATGACCCACCACGCGGGCCTAGTGCGGATTGGCGGGTGCTAACGACTGCAGATGCAGCCAGCACGGAGGAGCTCGAGATAGTAAATTTTTGGTCACCCATCCGATGACCTTAGCTTGCTTAACTTCAACGATCGCAGCCGAACTCGCTAACCACTTGCGCCATCGATCTCTAACTATCAATATATCCTTACTATTTTAAAGTTTAATTTTTATCATCATCAACCTATCGAGTCCTCACTGCTGTGTCACAGATCTGCTCAATAGCAAACTTTTACATTTATAACATTAGCTTTTTGAGAATCCCTCATGAACCTAATATATTATCCGGGATAATAAGTCGATCCAGAATCCTATATCTTAATCCAGATAAATTAGCAATATAATGCGCCAAAATTTCCCAGAACACATTTAGCCGTTTTTGCGTGTTTAAGTAACCAACATTTACTTTCCTATACATCTCTGAAGCCTGCAAGTTTGTGAAAAAACATATTGAATTATACTCCCCAGTTAAATTATTAAGACGTAATGACCGCTACCAGAATACACTGAAGCTTCCGTTTTCAAACTTGAAATGAGTATCAAATTCTCCACACTCCATGTTAATTAAAATATATAATCACATACCCAACAATATCAAAAATTTGGAAAAAGATACAATTTTTGAAAAACGTCTAAAAGAATATGTCATTAATTAATCATATTATAATATATTAGAGTTTTTTTGAAGATAAACATATTTCATATATACTATTTATGAAGTAATAATAAAATTTATTAAATTTCATGACATACCTCTATATTATATTAAAAATTCTGAATGTGAAAATTGTATACTAATATCTATAGTTTTTAAATTATATTTAATAAATTCTGTCACATGTTTAATATAAAATAATTGAAACAAGTTTATTCATTATGTAACCATAATAACCAAATACATATACCAAAATGAACTTAACAAAACATAGATTCTTATGACAATAAAGTTTATTCAAAATGACCTCCGTGATTTTTAATACAGGCCTTCAATCTGCGCGGTCAGTCGTCTATCGCAGCACGAACGAGGTCCATGTCAATATCGGCGGCGGCCTTAATCAAGGATGTCTTGAGTGACTCCAAATTAGGATGAGGCTTTGAGCACGCCTTTTCCTCCACGTGTTGCCATATCTTGTAATCTAACGGACTAAAATATGGACTGGAGGAGGGCCAGTCTTCGTGCCGGATGAAGTCGATTTCACGTGCCGCCAGACAGTCTTGTGTGCTCTTCGCTCTATGAGCTGGCGCCGAATCTTGTTGGAATACCCAGTGCTTGTTATTGAACATGGTATGAGAAACAGGTTCCACAAGGTTCGTCAGGACTCTTCTGATAAACAACGACTCTCTTTTGATACACAACTGCATTCGTAGATTGGTCCGACAAATGACTTCACCCCGTGTGTAAGGGGTTCTAAATACACCTGCAAGAACCCAAGCCAACCTCACCTTCACGCGGTGCACCCTGTTGACCAACAGACGAGGCTCTGGCAAACCGACCGATGGCGGTATAACCATCCAACTACGTAGGGGAGGGAAATCTCACTGGTGACGGGCAGCAGCGTCATCAGTGAAATTAACCTACGTTCTGCGATCGCCAACCCGCCTGCCCAGCGTGGCGATTATGGGAAAAACCTTCAATGCAAACAAACCACAAGCCACGGCCCCCAGTTCCCGGCAGCTCCGCTATTCCTGGTCACGGTGGCGACCACGGTGACGGCGGGGCAAGAATCTCCGGGCTACGGGAGGCCACCACAATAGACTGACCCTGGCAACGTACAACGGACGCACGCTTCGGCTTGACTCGCATCTGGCGCAACTCGAGGTGGAACTTGGGAAGATTAGGTGGCACATTTTAGGGTTAAGTGAAGTCCGAAGAGAGGGGGAGGACACCATAACGCTCGAATCGGGCCACCTAATGTACTTCCGTGGGGGAGACCAACAGTCCCAAGGTGGCGTTGGGTTTTTG